AATTACTGTCAGATTGAGTAGTTGAAAAATTTCTCTCTTTCTAACGTTTAGGAGAAAGCTCTTCGGCCCGAAGGTCTAATGAAATTGAGAAAAGTGTTGAGGAGAATGTTCTCGAGTGGGTCGAATATCGCAATATCTTGAGAGCAGCAACCTAGTGGAATACAGCGGTGATAAACGAGGAGAGCATATTTTTCTTCTTCGTTGCCCCGACGATCTTAATAAAGTAAAGTGAGAGCCGTGGCTAACGATCCCCGTTATAACTGGCGACCTTCGCGCCACAACGGCGGAAAGTTAGGTCAGAGAGGCGAGGATGAAAGCGTTGAATGAAGCGACATGACCTCTGATTCTCGGCCGTGCTCCTCCTCGAATTAATGAAGGAACGAACGTATCCGCTCCTCGTGCGCGATACCATCACCATATAGAGAAAGAATTCTCGCTGTCTGTGTACGGAATCGCATATCCGTCGTTAGGACTTGCTTGATATTCATTTTTTTCATACTTTGTTTCATCCACTAGTTCTAGTCGTTGAGTTTACACGGCATATTGATTCTTGAATTTTTGTGATTTTTATACTCTGTTTTCATATGTATGTATTTACATATATTATCTGCAAACAAAAGTTTGCAAAATGTGTATTAGACTGTGTAATAAACCCGTTTGATTATTCTTTATAAATGAATTAAGCAATTTTGATCCGTTCTTTTATCAAAAAATTCTTTAAAATAGATTTAGTTTAGTTTAGGTTAGGTTAGGTTAGATTAGATTAGATTAGATTAGTTTAGTTTAGATTAAGGCTTCTTTGATATTCACTTTTTCATACTTTGTTTCCTCTTCTAGTTCTGTTGAATCTACACAGTGTATTGATCCTTGAATTTTTCCACTGTTTCATATATATTATCTGCAAACGAAAGTTTCTAAAATATGTATTAGACTGTGTAATAAATTCGTTCTCAACAGTGATATATTAATGGAGGTGTTTGTTTGATTATTCTTTATAAATGAATTAAACAACTTTGATGCATCCTTTTATCAAAAAATTATACT